GGTATTTTCTATAAGTTTGAATAATTGATCTTTCACTGAAATAGAAAATATTGCGTCACCCGTGATTGTATCAGATTTTCATCACACTCAGACAATATTGTCTCAACTATCGATTAGTTGTCCTACAGCCATTGTCTGTGATAGATGTTACTCCAAGGAAGCTTGCGAAAATTGTAACGCAGCACAAACAAAATGGCAAGACTTACCAGTGAGCAAATCAAAGTACTGTCGACTGGCTTGGAAACTCTCCTGATTTAAATCCAATCTATAATTTGTGGTCAGTCTGCAAGAAACGACTTCGTGGAATAGACGTGCGAAATACTAATATGTAAACTGGGTCATGTTTTATTGGAAAAATACGAAAAAAGAAAGCAAATAATAACAGAATCATTCGTTTTGTTTGAATTAATTTTTACAAAGGTGTATATATTCAATTGAAACTTAGAATGCCAAACTGGAGAGGAAGAAGATTGTGCTGGGTCAAATAGCCATCTTCCAAATACAGATAAAATTTAGTTTTAGCAGCTGTTGCCAGAGACCGGACACCTCTTAATAATATCTTCAATTGCGCTCTGTCCAAAGACAGAGACACAATTGAGAGCTAAAATGTTGTTTGTCTGCTCGAAAGCAAATATTACACTTTGATCCTAACTCAATGTCCAAGGTGTGAATAAAAGCATAAATCGATTAGCACTTGCTGTTTGGTCAATGAATGCTGAATGTTTAGATATAAGTGCAGACGAATTACTTGGACTGCCACCAGTTCTTACCTTCACGGTTAAGATCCACCCTCCCACGCACATTGTAGCGAACCAATCTCATTCTGTTCGTATTCCCCTGGTGAGATGGAAGTTCCACTCCAGCAGCTTCTTTTCATGAACCGCTCCTCTGTAGAAACGACTCCCAAGAGGATGCTTCCCCGATCACTATAAACTTAACCTGTTCAAGTCTAGGGTTAATCGTTATCTTCTTTTCATATCCATATAAATTATGTCTGTTTCTCTGTAACCCTCTACCATGAGTGCTTTGTACAGGGGCTGAATATCATTGTAAAAGAAAAGGCTAACATTACTATTACCATGATCTCGGTTAATCGCTGTTTTTCTTAAAATAATTCCAAATTGGCGAAAGTAAAGAAATAGTGATGCAAAAATACTAAAATCGAAAAAGGGATTGACGAATTTTTTTCACGCGGTAATACACGGAAATGAATCGGGGAGAGGCTGACCGCGACCGTGGAGAATGTTGAGGAGATGGAGGCTTAAGCCTAAATAAAGGCTAAAAGAATTAATCTATGAAAAACTACGATAAAGATTCGTTCATTGATACACCTGAAAAGAAGTGGATTTGTTTAAGTAAAAGGAAAACGAAACATGAAACCAAGCGGCCATATTAAACTCTAATCATTATTTCTACTTAATTTTCAACATATCGAAACATTGGCAGCACTTAAACTTCAAACAACCAATAATGGAACACGTTTATCTTTCTCTTTCGCCTGTCTTATGAACAGATGCCTGTGAACTGGCGGACATTCAAGACAATCTGTCGGAAGTATTTATCTTTGACGTTTGCGTAACGTAGATGATATCGACGAGTTCCACTGAATAAATTACCGTCAGTATAATGATAAGAACTCTGGAAACCGAGAAACAAATCTTGTAATTTAAAATTGAATAAATAATGTGCACGTAATGTTTAGGTTACTCGTACAGAAGATAGTAAAGGAAAGCGAGAAGAAAGGACTAACCGTCCGTTCTAAGAAGACAGAAAATATAGAAAAATATATCAGGTCATCCCATAAATTCTGTCCGAATTTTGAATAAAGACAACAAGTGACCAAAAGTTACATTTAATTACAGATTCAATCAACAATGTATTTTCCCTGGTTATCTATGACTTCCTTCCATCTATTAACAAGCTTACTAATTCCATTAGTGTAAAATTCTTTTGGTTTTGATTCGAAGAACTCACAAATGTCAATTTTAACCTCTTCCTTTGTTACAAAAGCTGTTTCTTCCAAAGGATTCTGTAAGCTACAAAACAAACGGTAGTCCGAAGGAGCAAGATCGGGAGAATAAGGTGGATGAGGAATTTTCTCCCAACCAAGTTCTTCGATCTTTTGTGACGTGATTCTTGCTGTGTGGGGTTGCGCATTGTCCTGATGAAACATCACCCCTTTTCGATTCACTAGAGCAGGTCTTTTTTCCTCAAAGCTTGGTTCAAACGCTCTAATTGCTGACAGTATATTTGAGGATTAATTGTTGCATTAGGTGGCAAGAATTCAAAGTGGATTATTCGTTGGCGATCCCACAAGATTGAAAGAAGAACCTTTTGCCCATGAAGTTCCCTTCTCGGCTGTGGCTGGGGTCCTTCCCTTTACCAAACCACTGTCTACGACGCTTAACATTTCGATAAAAGATCCATTTTGGTCGCCAGTCACAAGTCTATCAAAAAAGGTGAAACAAGTTGGCGAGAATGGAGAGAAGAGCAGATGTCAACTCGGGATTTGAGGTTGTTTTCAGACAATTCATGAGGCACCCATTTTCCAGGTTTAGGAACTTTTCCGAGTTGTTGAAGATGACGATGAACAGTTGTATGGTTTGAATTGAGAACCACTGCCAATTCCTCAACTAATAAAACAGGATCTTCTTCAGGGGCTGCTTCAAGAAGCTTTTCATCAAACTCAACTGGACATCCTGTTCCATCTTCATCTTCAGGGGTGAAATCTCCACCTCTGAATTTTGAAAACCATCTTCTGCAAGTTCTTTCATTCCAACATTCCTCTCCATAAACTGAGTGAATGTTTCTAGCCGCTTCGGCTGCTGAGTTTCTTTTCTTGAACTCATAAAGCATTATGTGCCTCATATGATTCTTGGGTACTTCCATGTTAGCAGGGTTTTAATCAAACAAAATTTAATTTTATTGTTCTCTGAAATAAAATTTGATCAGTTTAAATGCATCTAAATATAAAAATAATGTTCAGCTCCATTATACATTATAAAATACTCTTTAAATTTCGTTCATTTTAACAAAAAGTTAAAATTTGGACTGAACTTATGGGATGACCTGATAGATAGAAACATAGAAAAACTAGCAGTAGAGTCCGGCGTTTCCCGGGGATGTAACAGTAAGAGATAGATCAAGTATCGACCATCATAAAGACTGAAAAATAAAATTGACAAAGATTATTGTTTAAGGTTGACGGACACGCATGTCTTAATTAGTTTTGTTCTTGTTTTTGTTATTTTGTTTTTTAGTTTTTTGGGGTTTTTTTACGAATTGGTCAAACCCAAACTCAAACAAAAACATTGTTTTCAATCAATATGAGTCTACCGATTGAATAAAATTTTATTATAAACAATTGTCTTGTAAATGGAATTTTTAAAGCATTTTGAATGTAAAAATAAAGAAAAAAGTGTGCAAGACAATAAGAAACACTACCTGCCAAAAAAAGTGAAGTTTTGTTGAAATCGGTTGAAAAATGTAGGAAATCCGATCCCATATATAAACGAACACACGCACATACAAACAACATGGGTTTTATAAGTAGGTATGAGTTGTCGATATGAGTTGTCTCCCTTTCATTCTGGCGACTTAATCGTGTTTTCAAATTGATTTCGTGCAAAAACAATTGTGTTTTTCCAATTTTTGGCGCTGTCAAGGTAATTTTACGTAGTCCTGTGAAGTTTTGTTGAAATCGGTTGAAAAATGTAGGAAATCCGATCCAATATATAAACGAACACACACACACACACACACACACACACACACACACACACACACACACACACACACAACCTGGGTTTTATAATAAGTATGATAAATAAATACATAGGAAGTGTTTTAATAAAAGATGGAAATGCCACATTGAAATCTAGAGGCGCATAGGAGTATCAAAATATGTATATCAATAGCTAAATTTCATTAGAAACAAAGAAAATAGTGCTGAACTGTTATGTAATATCAGTTCTCTTATAAGACAGTAAATGCTGGACAATCTCCCCACAGATGAAGAAGAGACTTGAAGCAACAGAAATGTGGTTCTACAGAGGGATGCTGAAAAACCCATGGACTAAAAATATGTGTAAAGGGAAAGTTTTAGGGGAAACTGAAGCAAAAACAATACATATACATTTGAAATTTCCAGTGTCCATAAAAAGGAAAGAAGGCCTGGAGAATTTAACACTTACATGACATACTGAAGGCAAGAGTGACAAGCGAGTAATCTGCCTAACGAGCTGGTGTAGATGGATAGCAAAACAAGATATTGAGAGGGGAGCGCTTGAAGAATTCTACACTCACATGACATATTGAAAACAATGAGAGAAGAGGAAAGCAGCGAATAATCGACCTAAAGAGCTTGTGTAAATGGATAGCAAAACAATATAATGAGAGGGTTTGGAAAATTTGACACTCATAGGAAATATTGAAGGCAAGTGAGAGAGAGAGGAAAGCATCGAGTAATTGACCTAACTGGTGTAAATGGATGGTAGAACAAGATAATGAGGAAAGATGGCTTGAAGAATTTGACACTCACAAAACATATTGAGGGCAAGAGGAACAGAAGTAAAGCAGCTACTAACCTACCTAATAAGCGTGTGTAAATGGATGGCAGAACAAGATAATGAGGAAAAAGGGTTTGGAGAATTTTAACACCCACAGAACACAGTGAAGACAAGAGAGATAGAAGAAAGCAGCAAATAACTTACCTAATGAGCTTGTGTACCAGCCATTTCGCTGGTAAAACAGGGATTAGGAGAGAGATCAAAATATAAACCTTACTAAGAACTACCAAAGACGTGAAGTTATAGAGAGCCATGATCTCACACGTCCTGAAGGGATATGGTACATAGAAGAAAAATGTATGTAATATTGTTTGCTGATAAAGAAGTCTTTCTGTTTAATAACAGATATCTTCAGCCGATAGCTTCTTGTGTTTTTTTTTGTTTGTTTTATTTTCTTTTGGTTGGGGCAATGCCGAGACATATCTGTACGAGATGAATATGTTCAAACGTTGTATTTTTGTATTTTCAGTCGTTTCTTTTTCCACAACCCCAGAGACTTTTCGTATTGATAGAATATATCCTAAATTGAAAGATAAGGGTCTCAAAAGTTGTTTTTTTTTGTTTTGGTTTAATTACTAAGCCATTTACCTGCCGATTCTTGGTGGTAATTGCTGATAAAAAATATACCTAAATAAAAAAAAAGAAAAGTAATTCGTAACCAGATTTTACCCAAAGAAAAAAAAAACAAAGAAAAGTATTTTTCACTACACTTTGGTTATCTTCGATACAAAAATTGACAGATCTCTTACTTTCTGAAATGTCTTAATTTGCTTTTGATTGGAATATACATTGACGAAATAATATTGTAAGTATTTCTTTTGGTTTGGTTTATTTTGTTTTATGGCATATCAATATCTCGATGGCTTATTTAATGCCGACAAGATTTTTAGGATAAGTTCATATGAATAGAATATGTATTCTTTGTAAGTAATCAGTTTTTAGATCAAGTTTCATTGACGTATTTTTGTCGAAAGTCAGTTACATTGCTGGTAATTTTTTTTCAAAATGTATTAGTGGTCATTTATTATTATACGTTCATAATGATTTGACCTCATACCTGGGACCCTAATAGGTGCTACCAGCTCGGATTAGGTTGGACCTGGGAACAACAGCAATTAAGAGGTGGTTCCATGCTCCTGAAAACCTCCAGTTTAGAGGCCTTGATTCCGGGTGTAGTTTATCGTCTTACCCAGGACGAGTTCATTAGAGGAAAAAACAGTCATTCTATCAATTTTTCTATGATATGAAAATATTTCTGTCGGAAAAAAGAACATTGTTTTGCACCAGATTATTATTTCTCTTTTATTATTGATATTCAGATTAATTATATCTATTAATTGATATCAGGGCAAGGGAAACATTTTTGCGCTTTGCAAAACAATTTTCCAGAACGATTTATCGATAAAAATGTTTTTAATTTTTGCGTTCAAAATTTATAAGGAACGAATTTCTTTTTTACTTTATGCTACTAATTTGTATTATTCTGTTATTGTACATGACCAGGGTGGCTGTAAATAAAGACAATAACAAAGATATTGTAAAACAGAATTTTCTTTGTCCTCCATTTTATTTTATTCACTTTGGTATAGGAAGTTATGGAGTACTAGTTTTCAGGACTATATTTAACCTGCATTGAAGAATAATTGACACTAACAGATTAATACAAGCTCAAAATTACAATGCTCTGGAAACGTTTAATGTCATTATGAGCAAATGCGTTCTTTCACGGCGAAAGACAACTGATTGATTGATTTGCGTGTTTTTACAGTTTAACTCTTTGTGGGTTATTTAAAGCCGTAAGATACATCAGAATGTAGGAAGTTGTTTATAGTATGGTGACGTGGGGTTAAAATGGACAATTGATTTATCTACGCCAAAAAGATTAATGGAGGATGAAAATGACGAGGAACACCCGGATAATTTTAACAAAACAAGATAAAGAATTTATTCACGAATTTACACGTTTGATGTTGTATCTGTAGCTTGTTTCAGGAAAATAAATCAGACATTTTAAAGTCGTTAGTTTTAGGGAATGATCATGAAGAGGAAATGTTCGTACAATAGATTAAATGATCTGACAGAGAATATTATTCAAAAATGTTTAAAACAAAGGTAAGAGAGTCCGTTTCTCATAGAAGGGATATATGGTTTCCATCCGTTCACAAGTAGACGAAGAGAGACAATTTGAAATACTTAACTTTCTTAGATTGTTGAAAGACAATTCTTTGAAGTGTTGCGTGTTTTGCTAAAGGCCTATAATATAAGCAGCGAGTAATTTTACACTGCCGAGAACTTCAACAGAAAACATTTCACATGACTTCAGAGACTCTTATAAATTTAATTTTTCTCCTCATATCAAAAAGAAATTTCGCATAGGGTCAGTAATTTCTTTTCTTTCTTCTTGACTTTACGGCTAATTTCTGTCGAGGTTAGGTTTTTATTTGTCCAGAACAATTTCACAAAGGCTAGTGAATTTATTTCCGTCTGCTTCTCAGCATGGCGGTCAATCTCTATGAAGGTAAGGTTTTCATTGTTCCAAATAAAATTTCGCATAGGCTTTCGAAATCCTTTCCTCTTTTTCCTCAGTCCTCCGAATTTGAAGCGAGTAAATAAAGGGCATAATTATTATTTCCTACTCATTGCAACAGTACCCTTTGTTCACAAGCAGTCCCCCAATATATATATATATATATATATATATATATATATATATGTGTGTGTGTGTGTGTGTGTGTGTGTGTGTGTGTGTGTGTGTGTATAAATAAAAAGAAAGAACAGTAAGATATATAATCCGGTGTTCTTATAGATATTTTTATTTTTACAAAATAGTGCTCAATGTAAATTTACAGAGCATTAATATTATAAATTAATTGATTTAAAATATGTTTTTTTTCGCTACATAGTTCTAACCATGTTTCAAAATTGGAAGCTGAAAGCTCCGAATTTAATTTTGTAATTACATTAATATGAAAAGCTAGATGATGTAAGACATTGAATGACCCATGTCCTTTGTACTTACATGAGAAACAATATATTACTAGGTTTTTATAAAAAAAATAAAAGTAAATCAGTGAAATTAATTAGCTATTTTTGCCGTCATTGTCATAAATTTTACTTAAATAATATTTAAATATAATTAAAAAAAAACATAAAAAAGTTACCTAATAATATACATACTTATACTTGATGTGAAAATAATTCTACATAATGTAAGGGATTCTAATACATTTACTTGTTCTTAAAAGAAATATAGTATATTAAAAATTAAAAATGAAAATATTTTTCAAATCGTAGTTAAATAAAACGTATTCTAACCTAAACCCCCACCCCCCCAAAAAAACTTTAAATATACTAATAGAAAAAAATGCCGTAAGAATTTTGGCCGTTAACAATAATTTTTTCTTTAAAATCCAAACGACATGCATTTAACGGATGTCAGAATTCATTGAAAAATACATCCCTACCCCTACCAAAACGTAACTAATAACTGATACATCAAAATACAGCGATGATGAACACGCAAACACCCCTTGTCTGGTTGAATTGGATTTCTCTGTATCCTTGGAAACGTGAATTATGATTTTTACTGTGTCTTTAAAACCCAGTAATTTTAAAAGTTACTCCAAAATTCGCTTGAGGATGAAATGGAACTAATGTCTTTAATTTAATTACAAAATTAAATTCGGAGCTTTCAGCTTCCATTTTTGAAACATGGAAAAAAACATATTTTAAATCAATTAATTTATAATATATATATATATATATATATATATATATATATATATATATGTGTGTGTGTGTGTGTGTTTGTGTGTGTGCTATGTATGTATCTAATGAAAGTAATGTACTTTTTTATTAATCTGACAAATTTTTTTTTCAATTTAAACGTTATTTTAACGGGTATTTGAGCAGACGGTCCTATTATTTATTTATTAAACACTATATTTACTTATAAACGGCACGTCTACTCAAATACGAGTATCCACTAAAAATAAGTGATAAAAATCTGGCGGATTAAAAAAAAATCTATTACTGTCATTAGAATTTTTCGCTTTATTTACGTTTGGATACGAAACTGTGTAAATATAAAAAATTTCGCGGGATCCATGACGAAAGAAGTTTTGATTAAAGGCACAATTTCGACCTTTCGACCTTTTTACTGATCCACTGGATCTCTGTAGCTTGAGTGTATCGAGTCTAACAGTAGGTCCCCTCTGCTCAGGAAGTTCGGGGGACACTGGAGAGAAAATTTTCCTTCAATAAGATTTCTCGAACACTCAAACCGGTAAACGAAAATAAATAAATATACTGTTTAATAGATAAATGGGGCGTCTATTCAAATACGAGTATCCACTGAAAATAACGCTTAAACTGATAAAAATCTCTTGGATTAATAAAAATTAGAAAAATTGCTTTGTTAACGTTTGGATATCAAATTGTGTAGATATTAAAAAATTTCGGGAGATCCATGACGAAAGAAGTTTCCCTTAAAAACATAATTCAACCTTGCCTGATGAACTGGTTTTAGCTTGACGATACAGAGAAACGTCTAGTTGGCGATACATACATATATATATATATATATATAGTGATTTTCAAAGTAGCTTAGATGTGGCAGAAGGTATGAGGCACCCAGTGAGGATCGAACTCACTATTCAGTCGTTATTGTTGCAGTAAGACAAGACAAGCTTATAACTAATATATTGAATATATATATATATATATATATATATATATATATATATATATATATATATATATATATATATATATATATATATATATATATATATATATATATATATATATATATATATATATTTATTTGGGCATTTGGGCATAAAACGATATTAATCGTTAAGGAATTCGATTTTTATACTTTGCTTTCCTTAGAATGACTCACGTTAAAGCAAGTTAAAACCATACATATATATACAACAGACACAGACAGAACAATCGAATCTTAAATCTTTAATGGGGCTGTGTATCATTTAATCAATTAATTAGTACTAAATTAAGCCATAAGTTCCCCAAATTAATTGATAAACATTTTCCTAACACTCTTAGTAAAATATTTAACATAAACACATTAAAACTAACTTATAGCAGCACCAATAATCTTGAGAATATCATAAAGTTACACAATAAAATTTTAAACCAATTTAATAAACTGAATCATAATACAAGTTTCAGTGTAATTGTAGGAATTCTGACCAATGCCCATTCCCAATGATTAGCTGAATCTCTTGTTTATCTTTGTACTGGCTATACAAGAGAGAATCCGGCAGTTGAAAAATTCTATATTGGTAGTACTAAGAATTCTTTCAAGACCAGGTAGTATCAGCATGTATTGGCCTTTTTACTAATGATAATTTCTAAATATTTTTGGAGTTTGAAAGATGATAATAAAACTCCTAAGGTGAAATGGAAAAATTTTAAAAATAGCAAAGAAATGTAGATCCTTATATGAAACCTTTTTTTTGTGTTTACATGAAAAATTAGAAATTATCAGGTACTTTGATAAGAATGCTTTATTAAACTAAAGATCCGAGTTAATGGTGAATTGTAAACACAGTCTACCATTTACCTTACAATTCAGTTAGAATTTGACAATGCTTTTTCTTAGATTTTAGTTGGACTGTGTTGCACCAGATATGGCTTATCTTTCTATTTGTAAGATTAATTTGGATTTAAGTTTATAAATATAAAAATATAACCTAACCAGACGATCCCTGGTAATAAGAAAGAAAATTGAAATAGCTAATGCATTTATACTTCATAGGTTTTTTCATCTTTTTTTATCTATTGTATTGAGGACCTTTACTGTGCGTTTTATAGTAGCTCGCATTCAATAACTATAAATTGGTTTAAATCAATATGTGTGTGTGTCTGCATTAAATTAAAGTAATACTAATCATAAAAATAATAATAATACTACTACTACTAATAATAATAATAAAATCCCGTGCCCATCAGCAGTTACGTAGTGCAGGATTAAAAACTGCAGCCGAAGGTTTTATTCTTGCTGGAGAGGACCAATGCTTGATAACTAGAAATGGGTAATTTCTAGTTATCAAGCATGGCACAGTCGATAAAGGCATTAGATCCAGTGACAGGACCCAAAGAGTGTGAGTTCAATACCCGGTTATGGCAGTGAAGAGCTTTCAGAGGGAAGATTAACAGGAGATAACTGATAACTGACATCCATTAAACATGGCACATGGAACTAGAACAGTCTACCCCAGTGAGTGAAATAAAGGGTTCAGTTCGACATTCCAAAACGTTGTAATAAATATAGCGACAAAGATGAAGACAATAGTCCGAATAATGTAAATAAGAAACATTGAAATAAAGTAAGTTCATATTTGTGTGTGTATTTTTTAAAAATCTATAGTTTTATTTCATGAAACTTATATGTATAACCTTCAAAAGTTTTGCTAAGTGTATCGTGATATTTTCATTGGCACTCATGTGTGCTATTGCTTAAAAAAGGTTGAGAAACATTGGCTCTTGCAATGAAAAAAACATTATTAAAGAATTCAAGTACTTCCTGGAACGATAGACTAGACCGACCATTTTTCCAGTATTAAAAAACCCAGCAGTTATTACCTTTTAGTCAAACATGAAAGGATTGAGTTCAACTTCTTCGCTGATAAAATTACCATCTCTATTAGCCTGTTATTATTTTTATTGTCTGTATAATTACTGTTGTTCTACTTATCATTGTGGGGACCTGAAGTTAGCTGCTTGAAAGAAATTAGTCGCTTATTTGCGTGATATACCAGCGCAGTCAGAAAAATCTTGCACTTCTACAGAATCCATTCATTTACTCATCACAGGAATGCTATTAACACTCTTACTTTGATGTACTAACTGAACTCAGCTTCTAACTTGAAAAAAAAACTGTTCAGTTCACCTCTTAACCCTAACCCTAATCTCTTCAAGAAATCCTTTGCTTACATACCTTCGTTGCAGGGATTAATTTATTTCTTGTATCTTTACTAGTCATTATCTCTTTGCAGAGATCTCTTGGTCAGGTCAGTTGCGTGCAAGCCAGCGTGGCCCAAAATTGAGTGACTAAATTAACATAGAGTTTCATGAGAAACAATTTTTTCTTTCCATCGATTAATATTTTTTTTCTTTTTTTAATTAGTAACAGCAAAATTAAAGCTAGTTACTTCGATGTATAAATTAAAAAGAAAACATATCCTTAATTTAGTTAAATGTATTTTTAGACTGAACTTTTGAGACGATATTTTTTGTTTGTTTGTTTTTTGACTATTATACATTTATTTCTTTCAGATCGTTTTTATTTCATTTTATTAAAACGTTTTGGCATCCTTCGGCTTTATTTTTATTCATTTATTTGTCTTCTGGTTTTTTCTGAATTTCTTAGGCATATTGTTGATACTCTTATATGTTAATTCATTAGGACAGTTTTTTTTTTTTTGTTTTTGCTGATTTGATTACAACATTTTGGTCATCGTAGACTTTGGTCTTTTTTTTTGACTGAAGTTTCTGGGAGAGATCGTATTATCTGGCGTGATCAACAAAGTCTGTACGCTCAAACCCTAGCATAATCATGGACGGCTTCCAAATATTTCCATCACAAGGCTTGGGTCAACTCGTGGTATGGTTTTCACAGGTGACCTTCCTGACAATTCGACCATGGTGAAATTCGGCCCCTAGACTTATGGCTGGAAAGCGAACATTCTAAACACTCGGCCATCTACATATACAATCAAATATATACATGCAAGCACACGCACACACACAAACGTACACATACGTACTGTCTGTCTGTCTGTCTCTTTCTCTCTCTCTCTCTCTCTCTCTCTCTATATATATATATATATATATATATATATATATAGAGAGAGAGAGAGAGAGACCTATAAACAGAAAAATATGAAAAGAAATTAACGACACTTAATAACAAAACCGCTAAAGAAGTGGCTGAAAGCGCTTGGGACAGTAAGCAATACGTACAATTTTTACACCCCTTACTTCCACCAAACGGACAAAATGTAAGAATATTAGAAAACACAATAAAAAAAAAAATTAATCCAATTTTCCCTGTTTGCCATCTTCGAAAGTTGTTAGAAAGAAAGGTTACTATATATATATATATATATATATATATATATATATATATATATATATATATATATATATATATATATATATATATATATATATATCTTTAAAAATAAGCCAATCCTCTACTTTGGTTTCGTTTCAACCTTACGGTATCCTCAAGCGATTTTTATCAAATGACCTCTTAATGCTTGACTTTTTTTGAAAAAATATAATGAACCATGTGTGGAATTTAAAAGAAAAAAACAACAGGGTCAGATTGCAAGGTGGAAAATTAAAAAAAAAAAAAGCCAAATTCTTACAACAACCACAACAATATTTGTAACCTCTGCCAACTGGAAAAATTGGCAATTATGACATTACCGGTTCAAAAGAATCTTTTAAAACAGAAATCCGAGGCCTTAAGTTCTTGCTTATATATTAGAAAATTCCTCTTAAGTACACATATTAGCCTGGATAAAAAAAAGTAATGTACATTTCAATTAACCTCCACCGCTACATTTAAAATGTTTTAAAACTTTTCTTCTTCTTCTTCTTCTTCTTCTTCTTCTTCTTCTTCTTCTTCTTCTTCTTCTTCTAATAATAATAATAATAATAATAATAATAATAATTGTGTGTGTGTTTTTTTTTTATAAAAAGCGTTAAGAGGTCATTTGATAAAAATCGCCCGAGGATACCGTAAGTTTGAAACCAAGGAAGCGGATTCCACTGACCTCCTGATTTTTAAAGTTAAAAACTCTACATGTTATTTTTACTTCTATTTTAATTTTTCACATGTGTATTGAGCACTTTTTAATACTACTGTTTCTTGGCCTGATTCAACTTTGACCATTATCCGTTTATATATATATATATATATATATATATATGAATTGATAAATGTAAAGGAATAACCATATATTAATCCTTATTTTTCTTGTTTTTCAGCTTTGGTTGTGAGATTTCTTACAAAGCGTTTTATTTGGGAGTACGATTCTTCGCAAGGTATGTAAAACTACAGCTATACTTGCAACTTTGTTGCTACTTAACAAAGTCTAATACAAGAGCATTGTGTAGGGATCGAACTCACTTGCTTAGTAACTTTTAAAGTCCAACTGTCTATGCACATGCACGTGTGTCTCTGTACGTATATGTGGGTCTCTTCGGATATGTGAATGCTTGCAGAATGGCATCGTGTGTCTCTAGCATCATGTGTGCAAGATTATAAAACCAGTTACAACAAAGTTTCATGAAAGATATTTGCAGACATTCTGGGACAGTTTATTTGAAATATGTGTTGGACGCATCCTGTCATAAAGTAGCCAAACAGATATGCCTCGTTTCTTTTTATAGCGATTCAAGAACCAAACAAATGACATGCGTTGGCAATCATTCCTAAATATCTATCAAATGTCGTTCTGTTTTTATACAGCTTAAATGATAAACAGCTTTTTATTTATTTATTTCAGCATAGAATTTATAATTTTCTTTCTTTTTCATGTTTAACCAAATGCTATATTCAAATTACTATTTCATTCACGTTTATTTATTTAACTGCGACTCAATCTATGCCTGGCCTTTCGTATCTGGATATTCCTTTTTTCTATGGTGATTTGCTAACCCTTGTTGAAGATGCCTGTTCAGTTTTGTACCTCTTCAACACCAACTATATTGAGCGGATTTTAGTTACAGTTTCTGGGGGAGAACGCCTAATCTGACAGTTCAACCGTTTGATCTAAGACACTACGACCAATCTCTCAGTCGAGATACCTTGCGCCATCGTGCAAGCTCAACTTTTGACGGCCACCTACGAATTTCGCCTATCCAATTTCGCTTAGAAGCCGTGGTATGTTTTTCATCTCTCTAGCTCGATATTATCAAGGCAAAGGAGGAGAAGAGCAGAAGAAACACCAGAGGTGGTAAAAAACAGATGCTTCAAACCAGAGAAGGTCAAGAGCATCTGAAATATCAGAAGAGGTACAAGCCAGGAAAGAAGCAAGTGTTGCAAGAAAGATGAGATCAAGAGCATCTCAAACATCAGAGGAGGTGCAAGCTAGGAGGAGATGTTGCGAGGAAGCGAAGGTCAAGAGCTGCAGATGACAGTGTAATTTCATCATAGAGAGAAATAGATACAGCAAAGAAGATCAAGTGCTGCAGTCGATGATAGACTTTATCAAGAGAGAAACAGTTGCTGCAAACCAGAGAAGAGAAAGATCTTTGGAAACACCTGAGGAATAACATATCAAACAGGTTAGTAATAATCAAAATCATGCGAAAAGGAGTACAGTTTCTTTTTGAGCCTGTCCAAGCTGGCTTTTCATTACAACTGTGACAGTGACTATTCAAATAATCCAAATATATCTATTGGATCAATGGTCATTCAGTTTAAACGTTGTGATACTCTCAGATTCAAGGATGAACTAGATGAGACGTGCTGTAAGAAAGGAAAAATATAGCTGGAAGATTAACCACTTCCTCCAGAATCATTTAGATCACTTCTGGATAGGAAGTCTCTGAATCAAAACACTTCATCTAGCACATTAGAAGCTACAATAACTGTTTTGCAATGACCTCATTTGGAGCCAAAAATGCTACCTTGTCAAGATGCAAAACCACTTGCAGAATTCCGGACAGGACTAGCTTAAAATTCCGCACATTTAGTATATAATAAATATGCCATGTGAATTCCAGTTCATAATATCTTTTTTCTTATGATAATTGACAATTATTTATTTGATGACATGAAATTGTTTTAAGCGACTTGAGTGTTACATTGTTATAAACAAAATATATATATATATATATATATATATATATATATATATATATATATATATATATATATACTCGACTCTCTCGTCGAATTCGATGTATGAGGGTTAAGCAGATCAGTTCCTAGGAAACTGACAGCCCGACACCAGCACATGAGATTTGATGATGATGGTGAAGGTTTTGTGCAGAACCATCCACACTTTTTGAAAGGCCGAATACAGAGACCTGGTGCATAACGTGCCACAGAATCCCCAAACGACCCTCCGAAGGTTTTGAATTCAGAGTTGTCCCTCTCCTAGACCAGTTGCCATCCAAGGCTATAGAAGCCAGTCTGTCCTGCTATTTACCCATAGCTGGAGGGAGAAGAAGAGGATTCACACTTTTCCCAAGAGTATTAGCATATAAGTGAATGCAATGGATTCCTCAATCCAAGCCGCTATCCATTACTCCACCGTGCCTCCTGCCTATATATATATATATATATATATATATATATATATATATATATATGTATGTATGTTATATAGGAATGGTTATTGGCATTTATATTTCAGTTTCAGGTATATAAAGATTGTTATGGGTCCTAAGAAAGTATTCAGGGATGGTTAAATTTTGGGCAGCATATATAAGTGATATGATAGTGGAAGGGAAGTATTTCAAACAAGGGAGGTCTTACGGCCATATCACATTGAAACATTGGTTCCCGTTCGATCTGCGAAGTTAAATAATGTCGATCCTGGTCAGTACCTAGATGGGCAAACGATTGGAAATACAAGGTGCTCTCAGAATGTGCAGAATGTCAACCGATGAGCCGAGTTCCAGTTCCCATCAGGTTCGTTACATTCACTTGTGCTCATAAGCCTTTGGGAGAGGTATGAATATAAATCAAAGAGAGTCCGAAAGAATATGAAAACAATTGCGTAAAAGTAACATATTTTGTTGCTATGTATATATATATATATATATATATATATATATATATATATATATATATAGAGAGAGAGAGAGAGAGAGAGAGAGAGAGAGAGTGAGACAGACAGACAGACAGACAGACAGACTGACTGGGATACTTTTGCGCACTTTGTGTATATATTGATTTTGCCAACGCCATCTACCAGTTCTCGTCCAAATTTCTTTGACAGACACGGGTAATAATCCCACAAAACGTACGATCTAAAAAAGCAACAAAATTAAGGAGTGATAATAAAATAATTTGTAAAATGATTGCAGAATAATAAGCACAATTAAAAATAATAAAAACAAGAGTAGAACAAGAAAAAAAATTATGATTTTTACTTAAAGAGATTTAAAAATTAAAATGGCTACCTAAAAGAAAAATGGATTTAATCTATAAGGAAAATATTCAAAGAAAGAAGCATTGAAAATGTCAATTGAGATAAAAGACGCAAAATCTTAACTAAAGATACAAAATCAACCTTCACGGCTAGGACCCACTATTCCGCATACATTATAGCAAACCACCCATATTACCTCAGTATTCCATCGGTGAAAAGTAAGTTCCACTCAAACAACTTCTTCCCGTGAACACTGCTCTGTGTAACCGGCTCCCAAGAGGATGTTTCTCTGATCTCTACAATTTTCACCTGTTTAAGTCTAGGGTTAACCGTTACGTTTCTCTCCTATTCATATAAACTGCCTCTTAATGTGCTCCCCCCACTGCCTCGAGTGCCCCCCGGGCCTTGTACAGGATGAACCTTGCTGTAAAAAAAAAAAATCAGCTAACACGACATGAAATACAACTATGGAAAAGTTAAATAATGATTTTTGTTCGTAATGTAGGCAGTTAAATTATAGGTTCCTCGAATGTTGTTGATGGTATCAATATAAATTACTTATTATAGTAAGTTCTTTGTGTGGTGCAAGTCGCTATAGCCTGAAACTCATGCAATATACTACTTAATCACCGTTTGCAAAGATGACTTTTGTTGACTTTAGTCAAAAGGTTTGAAAGACTTTAAATTAATAGAATAACCCAGTACATGCCCAGATATTAATCCTATAAAAAACAGTAGATCATTAAAAGAGATGCACGAGGACTGATCAAAAAGTATCGGGACTAGTGCTATAAGAAGAAAACTACAACATATACAAATTCTATATTTAATCTCCTACAAAATAGTCACTTCATAAGCCACACACTTCATCCAGCATTGATTCCATTTATGAACGCAATCTTGAAACTCCTAATAATAATGTGAATAGTGAACATCAGTAATTAATACGAATTTTATTGTGAAAATATTGAGTTGCCCTTTTTTTTATAAGCAATGAAGCTTCTAAAACGCAAAAGGCCTAAGAGAATATAAAATAAAGAAAACATTATTAAAGCGAGTGGACAATAAAAGAACGGATATTCAGAAGACAGAAAATAAACGATTGATATTCCATTTAATTTTCTGAAGTTGACTGTAATGTAGGAAACCAGAAGAGAATCCGACAAGTGAGAAGTGTGATAGAAGAAACTATTAGCATAGAACTTACGGTTACATCTAGCAGCCATTTTCAAATGTAAAACGATGAGACCTTGCCGCCAAACTAGTACTGCGCTTAAATTTATAAAGTCTAGTTGCCAATGATAAACACTCAGCAAGACAATTACCATAAACTATTTATAGAGAAGGCACAGGGAGGGTAATTTACGGCGGTAAGAAAGTGACTGAATCCGAGATGCCAGACTTAATAATAGGGCAAATTCTGAATGCACCAAACCAGATGTGGCAGCAACATTCCTTGCATATACGAATAAGGGAGACTTATAAATGTGTAAGATCCTAGCGAGAAAAAAATGTCTATTACGCCACAGTGAATCATTTTCTTAGCAGCAATAATAAAATCAATAATAATAATAAAATATTGCTTAATAGATTCTGAAATAGATAGATAGATGGATGGATATGAATAGAATCATCTAAAAAATGGCAGGCAGAGGTGCAGAGAGAGAGAGAGAGAAAGTGTGTGTGTGTGTGTGCGCGCGCGTGTGTGAGCATGTGTGTGTGTGCGCGCGTGCGAGTGTGAGCATGTGTGTGTGTGTGTGTGTGTGTGTGTGTGTGTGTGTGTGCATTTTCAGCGTTAGAGATTTTAGAAATATATATTTACGTCGGTACCTGTGCGTGTGCTTGTGCACTTAAAACAGGCTTGGACGCCGAGTGCTCGTATCGCAAACGAGGAAAAGAAGATTATATGAACAGACAAAAGAGATAAAAAAAAGAAGCGGTTTCTAGATAGATAGATAGATAGATAGATAGATAGATAGATAGATAGATAGATTTGAACAACGTGACAGTAAACTGTTATGTTGTTCAAGACGATGTCATTATTCTATCCTGAAAGAAAGTCAATCTCATTATTAAAGCAAGAAAGAAAGAAAGAAAGAAAGAAAAAGAAAAGAAAAGAAAGAAAGAAAGAAAGAAAGAAAAAGAAAAGAAAAGAAAAGAAAGAAAGAAAGAAAGAAAAAGAAAAGAAAAGAAAAGAAAGAAAGAAAGAAAGAAAGAAATAAAAGAAAAGAAAAGAAAAAATGTCGATTTGTTGTCCACTGTTTAATAATATTAGCATGGAGAAACGAGAAAATTCATCCCTTTTTTGATTGATGCCAGGAAACTAAAGGAATTTAAATTAACCCACTTATTGAGTCCTTTTACGGGCCGGTAGTAAATACCAGTCGTTTGCTGCTAAGAGCCGGTGATCACGCACCCTAGTTGAGTTCATATACTCTATATATATATATAGACAGTGATTTATTATTCTTGTCACCCGAGACATTCGTACTCGAACACACTTCCGGTTGGAAAATTTAATTACATCTTTTACTTTGTCGCGAATCGTGAATATCTGAAATTTATATTTGTCTTCATATGAGCGAACATTAAATATTTAGGAATGTCTTCCTCATCCATAGCCATTATCATCTCTTCTGTTCATGTACTAGTAAAATCAGTGATACCCTTTTTTTTTCCTAATTTTCTTACTTAGCTCGATCATTAAACTGAAAATCGTGAGGTCTAAAGCGAATTCGCTCTCCGGCTGAAGCCAGTCAGTTACTTATAAAGTGAAACGTCTAATGTTTATTTCAAATAATCAGTAATTCCACCACTTCAGATATTTACAGCCATATTAAGTCCACGGTGTCAAATCGCCATCATTTCCCCCGTATTCTAATTGTAACGAGGAATTTCCAATAAGACCGCTTCTTCCCCTAAACACTTACTTTGTGGAACGGAATCCCGCGTGGATGCTTCCCTGAAGTAAGGGTTAGGGTTAGAATTAGCTGATAATCAAGTCAAAGGTAATCCTGATAATCAAGTCAAAGGTTATTCTGAAAATCAATTTAAGTGTTATTCTGATAATCATTTTAAGGTTGACTATGATAATCAAGTTAAGGTTTATTCGGATAATCAAGTTAAGTATTATCCTGATAATCAAGTTAAGGGTTACTCTGATAATCAAGTCAAGGGTTATTCTGATAATCAAGTGTTAACCTGATAATAAAGTTAAGGTTTACTCTGATAATCCTGTTAAGGGTTATCCTGATAATCAAGTTACTGTTTATCTTGACAGTCAAGTCAAGCGTAATCCCGATAATCAAGTCAAGGGTTATTCTGATAATCAAGTTAAGGGTTATCTTGATAATCAAGTTAAGGGTTATTCTGATAAACTTAAGTGTTATTCTGATAATCAAGTCAAGGTTTATTCTGATAATCCTCACTTCCTACCGAACTCTTAATTTGATATCACACACCTCATTCAGTAACCCCCTACCTTGAGGGATTCTCTAGCTTTATACTGGATGAACTTTTATTTTTAAAAATTCTGTTAGTTCGCTGTTCTAATATAAATATCGTTATTCATATTGACCTGCTACGTCTTTGACATACTTTTTTTAATCGTGAAATTCTAACCCAGAATTGTGAATGATGATGGTCTAGCAGACTACTATTTTTTAGTGAGTTCAATCCTCAGGGTTACCTCACCATTGTTCTTAAACCAGATTAAAGAAAGCTTAGAAAGAACCTGTTGGTCATCTGGCACTAAATATCTTAGATGTTGTCAAGTCTGTTTATTATTATTATTATTATTATTATTATTGTTTCCTTTGATTTCTGGCGTTTACATGTTTCTTTCCGGGTCCCGCCCAGGGACCTAAGGTTAGAAATGGCATCATGACACTTTCCACTGACAAAAGAAAAAAAAAAATACATAGATAAAGCCCTTCGCAAAGTGTGGGCTGTACTTGTGAGAACAATTTTTTGCATCTTTCTGAGGCATGGACTTCCAGGAGTCCCTTCAATTAGTCTACTGGAATCTTTATTATTAAATAAGTAGCACGCCAACAAAGTGACACTGGAGCACAAATATAAGGAGCCTAATGCACCCATCTTGACACTCTGCCTGAAGAGAGTATACCAGTTACATGCAACACAGCCAAATGTGCGCGGTATGTTAATAGGCTTTGATAAAAGTAGAACATAAAACATAGATGAGACTTAGTCAAAAAAATACCTTCAGGTCGAGTAACCCAGTCAATTCAGACAGGTCCCGAATGACGTTATCCCCAAGTATCTAGATTTGATACCCAAGTTGCTTTGTTTGATTCAAATAAAAATAATAAAATTAATAACAACCCTATTCACACTAATCTATACATCCCTTCCTCTTTTATCATCTCTCATTTGCGTCTCTGTCTTCGGGCAGAGTGCGACTCATTTGCAGTTTCGTCAGGGGATAGAGGCGCAACAGGGTTAAATAAAACTGTGAGGAGCCCATCCCTGGGGAACAGCTGCATGAGACTGCACCCTCTAATGTCACTAGAGAGAAGGATCGCTGTTCGCACCAAGGTCAGCGCAACTGATGGTTGCAGTGCTCGGGGTGTTCAGGGAAATTTTTTCTCCATGGCCCGAGTGTACGCGCTCGGGTCCCACACATTAAACTCGACCTTGTGTCACAACTCGTCTGCAGTGTTGTGACAGGGTAAATACATTATGCAGCTCCTCTTCTACTTCCGTTCATGTTTACAGCCACATTACGTTGAAACATGGGTTCCCGTACGATCTTGGAAGTTAAGCAACGTCGAACCTGGTTATTACTTAGATGGGTGACTGCTTGGGAATACCAGGTGCTGTAAGCTTGGATATGCGGATGGCATAATGGATAATGGTTCGAAATTGTTAATTCTACTTGGGTTCGTTATATTCACTTACGCGCAAATACCCTTGGGAAAGATATGAATCCACCTCTTTCCCCCAGCTATGGGTTAATTAGTAAGACTTGTATCAGTAGATCATTATTATCTTTCGTTTTGTAGGCGTTAAAATTAACAAACCATCTTTTGTCCCAATTAACAATGGGCTTTTGGTCGTTGCGGACATGGGCTGCCATGATGACCTTGTCAGACTGAACAGCCATATTATCGATGCAGGAGTAAATGGTTGTGTCGTCAACATAGATACAAAGTCGAGAGCTGATGTAACCAGGAGGGTATTTAATGAAAATTAAAAACAGACCAGGATCAAAGATGGAGCCCTGGGGGCGGGGGACACCCGCGTTAGAACGAAAGTATTTAAATGAGTGGCCGTTCCGGATAACTTTCATTACCCGATTTGATAGGAAAGACTGGATCGATTCCAAAATGTGTCCGGAGACACGGTAACTTTTTAGCTTATGGAGAAGAACTGTATGCGAAAACCTGTCAAAGGCTTTCGAGATGTCTAAAGCTGCAGAGAATGGCCAATTTGACTAGTATTTAATACAATTCTTTACCCCATACCTTACACAATAAAGGAGAAGTAGTAAAGATTTGTGTTCTGTTTACACAATTCCTGATGCCAAGTGATAAATGTCCAGTGTTTATATTTTCTTTACATTGATTATACTAACCTATTATTATTATTATTTTTATTATTATTATTTTTATTTTCTTTGATTTGTGGCGTTTACACATTTCTTTCCGGGTCCCGCCCAGGGACCTAAGGTTAGCAATGGCGTCATGACATTTTCCACTGACAGAAAAAAAAAAAAAGAATTAAATTACATAGATAAAGCCCTTCGTAAGGTGTGGGTTGTACATGTCAGAACAATTTTTTGTATCTGCTTGAGGCATGGACTTCCAGGAATCTCTTCAATTAGTCTACTGCAATCTTTTCCAACCAGTCCTAGGGCTCCAACTACAACAGGGATTGTTGATGTTCCCATATGCCACATTTTTCAGATTTCTATTTCAAGGTCCATGTACTTTGACAACTTTTTGAATATCTTCAAAGATACATTGCAGTCAGCAGGGACTGCCATATCAATAAGGAAGCATCGTTTTTGTTTGTAGTCTTTAATAACAATATCTGGCCGGTTGGCCTTGATTGTTCTGTCAGTGTGTATTGTGTGTTATTATTATTATTATTATTATTATTATTATTATTATTATTATTATATAAAAATGCTTACGCGGTTCTAAAAAAATAACGACATATATTTAAATAATTTTGTAATTTGTATTTATAAAGTATTTTAGGAAAATATATAACAATCTATATAAGTGGATTTTTTTTTTCGTGTGACGCGTTACGTCCTTTTGGACTTCAGACTAAAGTGATTCTTATGTTGATGTGATTACACATGCGCATTAAAGAGAGGAGATGCTGGAAGTTTACATCATTAAGACTATTTTTAAATGATTTATTTTGAGTATATAGTCTGGCCAATTTCATTTAGTTTCTTTCATTTTTTTGTATGTATTGCTCTGCATTGCCCTGTTGCCGTGGTTATTTTTTTTTCCAAAAATTCCTGAATATTAAGCTAAACAAATTACAGTTTTATTAAGAATTAAATAACTCTAATTTTTATACAACCCTAAGTATAATTTCTACGTCATCATCATATAAATGCTCAAGAGACCTTCTGATTATGTAGAAAAATTATTACACAAATACACACACATATGCACTATATATATCGCGTATATTTTGTCAGCATGTTTTCATTAAGACATGTCTCATTGAATAATTTAGACAAGTTTTGTCTACTTATTTTCAATAGGATCCTCTTATATTCACGGACATGTTACTCAGTATTCTTATTAAAGGAAGAGAGAAAATAACCATGTCGATACATATTAATTTATTCCGAGTACTTTCGCCATTATCACAATGTCATTATCAGGGTGTTGTTTTTCCAAGACAAAATTATTGTATTCATCTGAAAGTTATTTTTTTAACTGTGAAATGAAAAACGGTAAGGTTATGTACTGTGCGGTTTAAATTTCACATTTGAAAATTAATAATTATTATTAGCTTTTCCCCCACCAACTAACGTGTTGCAGAAAACCAATGTTATACATAAATTTAGATGTCCCTTGTGAGTTTGCATCTCCAATACAAAAAAATAATATATGTTGGTCATATTATTACTACGTTTTCTCGACGGTTGAATTTTCATTTGAATGATGCATCAAACATATCAGAACATTTACAACAGTATGCCTGCCCACATTCACAGTTTAGAAAAATTCTTGTTGAAAATACATCTGTACTTTTTCATGAAAATAATAAACATAAACTAAAAATTCATGAATCTATCTATATTAAAAACTTGAAACCAAACCTTAATTAAATTAATTATGAATACTACACAAATGTTTTTAAATGTTGCCAGTAGATAGCTTAAGATATATAGATTTTAAATAATAGTTATTAAAAAAAACAAAAAAAACATATGGCCATTTCAAACTTATTTACCTCCCCTGAGTTTTAAACGTGAAATTTAAACCACACAGTATATCACCATAGCGTTTTTCACTTCACAGTTAACAAATTTAACTTTCAGCTTTCAAATAAGTATACAAAATTTGTGTTAATTATGCAATGAAATTATTAATTTGTCTTAATTATTCCATGCGTGTGTAATAGCAAATAAAATTAAATGTTCTGATATGTGTTTCTACTCTGGATTTCTCGGCGATTAGATATACTTACCTACATCATATGAAGACTTCCAAAAGCAGTAAGAACTAAAATGGATAGCAACATGTTAACTCGAAGAGAAAATAATAAAACTAACCAAACGTTGTCTTTCCGCACTACCGTAAACAAAAGGTTAAGCAAGGAAACTCGTATCAGTACTAAAAAGAGAGATAACAGCGTCCTTGAGAAAATTCTTTTCCATAAAAATCTGTTTTAAGAGAAAAATCTTATAAATTTCAACTGACATTAACGCTAATTATTCGGCCAATGTCTGCGCAAAGTTTCCTGTATGGAAACGATTAATGTCATCATTATCATTGCATTTACTTATACAATTTACTATATCCGACAGAATAACAAGAGTAACTTATATTTTTATTTTTTTATATTATGGGCAGAGAATGGGTCAGTTAGGAGAAGGTATATTCGGAATAGGATGGGTATTAAATATTGTCTGCTCTCATAGTTAATATAAGGCTGAGTCAAGAAGTAATGCAATGTGTTTTATTATATATGAAATAAAGCAGACTATCAAACATATCATACGGCAAGATATAGCTTTCCATTACAGGTTGACATCCCTACTTCTCAACATCACTTTGAAGCTCGGCAAATGCAGTTTTCCACCTACGAATGAGGACGTATTCCAGCTTTGTAAAACTCAGCTGGTTGCTGATATATCTACTTCCTTACAGCAGTTTTCAATTCTTCATCACCACCATAATGTTGACCGCCTCAGTGCTTCTTCCATGGGAGTAAAGGCATTTGAAATCAGGTGGTGAAGAAATAGCATCGATTAAAAATACTGACAGGTATTTTTTTAACGCACATACACCATGTACATAAATCTAATTCTTTGTTTAGTTTAGTAAGAAACGACGGAAAATGTGATACATAAATCTGAAAGCGCACAGTAATAGAGAAAGATGTCTTTCTGAAACCAAGCAAAGTATTAAGATATGAGAAAATATCATTAAAACAAAGAAAAGTGTGCTGAACTTCTATGTAAAGAACAAGTACTGTGTTGGATAGCCTATTAAAAGTCGTTAATAGGATATTGATTTGTATTTACTCACCCCTCCCGACGAGGTCAGGTTGTGACACAAGGTCGGTTTAATGTAGGGAGCCCGAGCTCGTACAAACGGGCTAGAAACAAAAATTGAGCGAGGACCCGCAACCGTCGGTTGTGCTGGCCTCGATGCGAGCACCGATCGATGCTCTCTCACCTCTCTCTCTCTCTCTCTCTCTCTCTGTGTCTCTGGTGCAATGAGAGGGCGTTGCCTCTGGCAGCTGTCCCAAAGGGATGGTCACCTCTCAGTATAATTTTCCTCACTTAGAACTTTGTTCTTTGACAGAGCCACCCTTGAGCACTCTCTGCCCGACGCAACTGAGAGATAATAAATAGGGTGTTACAAACTACTCGAGAGGATATTGATTCCAAGCGTTTCCGCTGTTACTGATTCTCGATCGCTTTGCGGACACCCAATCCGCAGATTAAGTCTCTAATGTAAAATGCCATAGTATTTGCATAAAATCTATGCTCACCTTTCCGTATGTTTTAATAGATAACTTACAATACCTAGTGTAATAATGTAAATAATCACTATATTCACTTGCTATGATGAAAGTATTTAGGAAGGGAAGCAACACCTGAAGGGGCCGTCCTGGGTATGGCGATAAACTACATCCGCGTCCTGAGTAAGACGATAAACTACGCCCAACAGCAAGGCCTCTGATCAGAAGGTTTTGAGGAGCGTGGAACCACCTCTTAATTGCTGGTGTTCCCAGGTCCACCCTGACCCAGGGTGGTAGCACCTGTTAGGGTCCCAGCTATGGGCAAATAGTTAACCCTGAAACTGGGGTAAAAACACTATGAAATTGTAAAAATAAGTTTTAATACCAGAAATACTTTGTTAGAAATTATTACCAGCAATAAAGTTTTGAAGAAAAAAACTATTACCACCAATATATTTTTGAAGGAAAAAATATTACCAGAAATAGATTTTTGAGAAAACAAAATATTACCAGCAATAAAAATCTTGTCGGTATTAAATAATTCATTGAAGTTGATATGCCGTTAAATAAAACAAAACAAACTAAAAGCAAACCTGAAGGGAAAATACCAAATACCAATGGTAAGAATTAACCGCTTCCGTTTAAGAAACATTCAGCAT